ATAACAATAATAATAAAGTTGTCTTATATTCAAGTATATACAGTAGTCCCTAAATGCTTCCCAAGCCCACATTTTAAAAAAACAAAAACAATTTGAACTTTCTGGAAGTTTTCACATAGAATGTCCCACAACCAGCATGCGAAAACTGCAAAATACACCATAAAAATACCCCAGAACTCTGTACTACCTCCAAAATAACCCACTTAGTTAACTGCCTAGTTTGAATTTTGCACTCTTCACAGTTTCCAAGAGAGTCAAGGGAATTAATTTTTCCTCCGAACTGTATCATTGCTTTGTCCAGGTSATGTCCTTTTTGTCAGATGACTTTAGCTTTKTTKTCTCTCTGAATAATATTAATAAAACRTTACCCTTTCCCCCCTTTGCAGATCCGGAAAGAAGGAAAAGGACAATACAGCACGGATCAGTTATGCGTCCTTGACAATGTGAAGCTGAATTTAAGACGATTCATTGCTTATCAGGAAACGGTGGAGAAGAAAAAATAACTTTTGGAGTAGTCTAAAGAATGTAAAGCTATATTTTTTTTGTATTGTTTCTGATATATTTTTAATCCGGAATTATATAGCACCTTTCAGTGGCTGGTGGTGGGGTGGTCTGTTTGCTTTGGGTGATGGATTCGTGACAGATAAAAAGTGGGATTGGAAATTTAAAAAAGATTGATTTGGTGTCAATAAATGGGAGACTGGTGCCTTCGCTCCAGGACTGAAACCTTTTTTGAATTCATGCATCATACATTAAGAACCAGTGTCAGATCTAGTGATTGACCTGCCTAATATGGAATGAATATTTTATTTTTGTGGATGACAGTGTCATTTCTCTCTGTTGATTCCCTGTCAAAGATGTAGTCTTCCAGAYCTTCTGTACATGATTTGGAAAATGAGAGCATTTTTATGGACKGTTGCATTATTTCATGACAACTTCTCAGTTGGTTTCTAATCCTAATACATTTAGGCTTGTACTAACCCTAATTATTCACCTTGGTTCATGCAAGCTGGAGTTTGGGTATGCATTTACACTGGAGAATGAATGCAGTTTGACACCACTTTAATTGTCATTGCTATAGAATGATGGGAGTTGTAGTTTGGTGAAGCACCGGCACTCTTTGGCMGAGAAGACCTTGTAAAACTACATCTCTCAGGATGCCATCACATTGAATTATAGSAGTTCAAGTGGTGCCAGATGCTGAGTGAGTGGGYTTATTAACAAAAGACCCTCCTACACCAGTAGCGCAAAGTGATAAAAAGAACAAAAACACACAAACCAATGTTATCTCTTCCTTAGGAGGCTTTTCTCTATAGCAAAATAATGTGGTTGCACTATTTACAAGACCAAGGTTTCCATAACACAAATAAAATTCTTTAGACTTCCTTCTTTGCTTCCACGCTGGCCTTCTTTCTTATGCAGATAAACATATTCGCTCTCACAGAGCCTCTTCTCACAGCAAAGTTACACAGGAGCTTCACACAGTAGCTGTTTACACACAGCAACCTACACACAAGACCAAGATTTCCATAACATAAATAAAATTCTTTAGACTTCCTTCTTTGCTTCCATGCTGGCCTTCTTTCTTATGCATATAAACATATTCGCTCTCACAGAGCCTCTTCTCACACCAGAGTTACACAGGAACTTCACACAGTAGGTGTTTACACACAGCAACCTACACACATGATGGCCTTCAACCTAGGTCTTCTTTCACTGAATCTTCTCATATCGAAGCCTACTAACACTGAGGCCTACCTCACACTGAAGCGTTTCTCCCACTGAGGCCTTCTCATATTGAG